GCAGAATTAGAGAGACTGAAAACAAATGAAAAACGTTTCATTTCAATTAATACATTTCTATCAACATTCCTTAACCGAGAGGAAGCATTAAAGTTTCTCAGCAGTAACAGCGGCAGTCAGCAAGATAACACAAAAACGTCAGTTCTGTTTGAAATAGAAGCGAATACTCAGCTGCAGGGTACTAAGCCATTTGCTGATATTAGTCAGATCCGTGATTTGGAAGGAAGTAAAAAACAAGTTTTGTTCATGATCGGCAGTGTACTGCAGATTATGCATATTTCAAGAAATGAAGAGGAAAACTTATGGATGATCAAGCTGAACTTGATAGAAGAAAATACAACTGAACTGAAGCCAGTGTACGAAACAATAAAAACAGATATTGATCATGTTTTATCAGTCGGACAAGCAATATGGCGTGGGGAAACGCACACAGAAACAGAACAATACTTACAATGGCGGTTAAACGTTTTACCAACAAATGATCCAGCGGTTCTGCATTGTTATAATGAATTAGCAAAAGTTATTTATGAGAGAGGTGACTATGATACTGCTCAGTTCTACTACAGAAAAGCTCTACAGCTGGCATTAAGAGATCCATTGGTCGATCCGAATGTTATGGCCGAGAGTTACACGAATTTGGCAGTTCTTTTAAGAGAGACACATGAATACGACGAAGCCTTAGAATGTTTGTATAAAGCTTTAGATGTGAGACTGAAGACATTCGGCCATGATCATCTTTTAACAGCTAACATTTATTACAGAATAGCTTCATTGCACATTATACAAAAGAAATTTGATTTAGCCCTCCGTTGTCTAAATGAATGTTTAGAAATTCAAACAAAATTGCTTCCTGAATATCATCCAGATAGAGCACTAACAATAATTACCATTGTCAATCTTGATAGTGTAGAAATTGGACTTTAAGAGAGTAGTGTAGTTTAAATTAATGCTAATTACAGTTATTGTAATGAAAGAGGAACGTCAGGAATTTCTTTAAAAAGCAGTTCCCTTTTGGACGTTTTTTAATGTTTGGATGGATTTTATTGAACGAGATGCGAATGTCACGAAATTATCGTAGAAACCTAAGTTAGAGAAGTTAGGTCTACTGGGGCCATTGCCATCGGTCGATAAAATAAGTTTTACTGTTTCTTTCCGCTCTGTCACGCTTTTGTAGCGTTTTGAAAAATGTTGAAATTTTGCATGACATCATAAATAAAAAGTAGAAGTTTAAAATAAAGGAACGAAGTCAATGAGGTTGGAAGTTTCGTTTGAAATGGATGAAATCTTGTTGAGATAAATTCCCTCCTCCATCTCCTTCTCTCTCTAAGCGGCTCATTTGCATAAACAAAAAGTAAAAGTTAAAAATAAAGGAATGAAAAAAAAGAGTAATATATGACTTCATATGTAAATATCCTTAATGTTTTGTCTGTTATTATTATGTGGTGGTCTGCGCAGCGAAGAAAAGAAAAACAGAATTTTCCTCATTACTCACTTTTACAGAAAAACGAATTAATGTTCTGGTCTTGTATGTAATCAGGTCATGAGTAATTATTTAATAAAGATTATTTCGAGAGAAAATCTTTTTTTTTAAATTTATGTTACTGATCAAATAAAGATTTCAAAAGCTTGTTTGTAAAAGAAAGTGACTCAAAAAATACACATTTTCTGGTAAAAAACTGTGTATCTTTTGAGCCATTTTCTGATAAATGCGAAAGTGTCAGGTCTTTGATATTATGGGTTGTGTTGAAATTTTTATTATATGTAGGGGTAATACAAACCAGCTTAACGAGGGAAGGTTCCCAAGTGCCACGCTCACTTTTCAATGGGATACATCCTAGTTTGTAGAGTTCGAAGAGCTGATTATGATGGCATAAAGCGTTCTTGGATGCGTACTATAATGCGTACCATTGAATGTGCCGCACTCGACTCTACTCGCCCATACGTTAAACTAAAATAGAGGAGGTAAGCGTGTTTGTACTTTGCATACGTCAAAATCACTAATACTGTGAGTATAGAGAATTCAAATCTTTTCCTCGAAAACCCTTTGAGAATGCAATGTTATAAGTCCAGAAGCTGAAAATTTGATAGCTTTCATCTTCCCAGTATAAGACGTCTGTCTAATTGCTTTTTCACACATTTTATAAAAAAGTTTCAAATCACCTTTGGCTGTGTTTCAGTCTGACTTCTTCGCATTAGCTGCAAAACAAAGACTAATCACAAAATGAGACTTAGAGAATGGGCAACACGGGTTTGAAAGGTAGTCAACATAAGTTTTCGATATATTTGTTTAATTTTCGATCTATAACATAGCATTCTCAGAAGATTTTCGAGAAAAAGATTTGAATTCTCTATACTCACAGTATTATTGATTTTGAAGTATGCAAAATACGGACATGCTTAGCCCCTCTATTTTAGTTTAACATGTGAGGATGTTGAGAAAACGTTTTTAAGCTGTGGAGTTTTGTTTTGAACAATTAAGAGACGTTCCATGAGTGAATCGAGTACCGTTAAGCAGGCCTGTCAATCGCGAAAAATAGAATTTGTTAAAAGTTACGTCATTCGATTCGGCATGAAAACCTGGGGTGACAAAACTTTTTAAAACTTTATAAGCCATTTTGCTCTGGAGAAAATCAAGTCTTCCCATGACCTAAGCCTAAAAAACCCAAAAATTGACCCCTTTCAGCTTTTTATGTATAAAACCGTCAGTTTTCGTTCGATTTTTTTGAAAGAAATCTTGAGGTTTTTGTGGAAAAACCTGAACATTTTAAGCAACCAAACGAAAATTCATAATAGAGTTTTGATATTTTAATAGAGCAAACAATTCTGCACCCGATGTATTGTTTAAAAATGACAAAGTCGATGCAACTCGGGATCAAAATAGTCCCACAATAGCCAAAGCTGAAAATGACTAAAACACAGAAAATGCTCTATGTAATTTTTTTTCGTCATCAAACTATTTCCAATCTATTTTTCAGTCAAGATTAAGTGTAGAAAAATCTTTCCTCCTTCAATACGTTCTTTTCTGTGGAAAAAACAGACTTTTCCCAAAAACTTGTGGAAAAAGTCGAAAAAATCGCCAGATTTTAATTTTTTATCTATGAAATCGACAGTTATCATTCAAAGCTTTTGATCAATATCTCATTCGAATGAGCAGAAAAAACTGAACAATATCTCATATTCAGAAAAATTTTAGATTCAAAATAATAGTCAGAATAATGGATTTTCGTAAAGTATTATTATTATTATCTTTGAAAATTGTTATATATTTTGCTGTAAGTACAATAGCGTGGATTCTTTCACAGAATTGTATGTGAATATTCAAGCCGCTGTTCAATCTGCAACTTTTGCTACTAGATGTAAAACAACCGAGGTAATTTATGCACCAATAGCGGACATTACCAAAACCCATGAATATTACACTCTAAAAAAAAATGCGGCTTAGGATCAAATTAAGTCGCATATATGTGTCTTATTATCACAGGATAAGGCACATATATGCGACTTAATTTGATCCTAAGTCGCATTTTTTTTTAAAGTGTACCGGGTGTCCCAAAATTATATGTACATAAGATGCATGTAATCCAGACTTGCACACAAATGTTTTTTTGAACTTATTCTAGACCATTTAATAGAGCTTTTGAAGCAGATCAAGAATATGTAGTTTGAACTTTTCGAAACTTTGTTTTCGTGTTGAAAAATTGAAAAAATTCGAAGGGTCTAAACACTCGAAAAAATGACGATGTGTCGAATAAGTTAGATTTTTCGACTTGGGTTTTTAGTCGAGACGTTCAAACTATTTTTTTCTTATTCAGTGTTAAAAGCTGAATTAAAAAATGATGTTAGATCCATTTCAAAGGTAAACGCCTGTCCACCATGGACGTTCGAATGGACCATTGGAAAAGACAGGTGAGTTATTCTGCAAACCTATCGAGTTTTTTCTGTTAAGAGATGGAATCTCCATTTATACCATATTCGATGCGCCTTTATATGGGCAACAAAGGTACGGCGAGCTTCTTTTAAAATTCCTTACCCTTGCTCAAAAAATTCATTTTTTCTAAATTGAATGCCTTACTCTGAAAATGTGAATAAGCGCTTCATTTCGAAACTGAGAGTAAGCCTTTTATACTCCAAAAATGAGAGTAATTTTCTTACTCTGAAAATACGAGTAAACGCTGTACTCTGTGGGATATGCTCGACGAGAATGTTCATTGCCTTCTGTATTTTGAGCAAGAACGGCACGCAGTCCATAGTCACATGCAACCAACTGAAGCATAAATTCACGATCAGAATTCGAATATGTGACAGATGGTGCGGAAATAAGGCGTTCTTTTAATAGTTCAAAGGCCCGCTATCGATCAGGAATGAAGATAGTTTAAAAACATCTTCTTGAAGCTGAAAAAAATGCCTCATTTTGTTTGTCTGAAGTTTGAAAGACTGCTCCTCCGCAAGTTCGGAAGCACTATTAGATAGTATCAACTACGGATATAGGAAACAGTTTTAATATCATGATGAAAAGTATTTTGCAATCCTCATTAAGTCACAAATCACAATACCGTATATTCTTATCTTGATATTTTGGATGATGCACTGCTGAGTACGGTGTCAATGGTACAACAGTGTTGCTAAACCATATTGTTGTATTCAAGTTTTTGAATCCAAGTGCAAGAAGATCACTGTACGCATCTTGCATTGGGAGCTCTAAAGCAACACATCCACTCCATTTTGGATATATCGACCGAAGGAGTTTTTTTTTTGATAAGGAATAAGGAAAATGTTAAGGAACTCAAATGACGATTTTCACTAACTTTGACTCTCGTATATTTTTCGAGTAGTATACAGGTGAAATTATTTCTTCTTAGCAAGGAATTCAGCGTAGCGAAAATGCTTACTCTTGGACGTAGCTGGTGCTATGACACATATAGAGACAATAATTTAAATTTGTCTTTTCTCTCACAAAACGTAAACGTTTATTTCATGTGAAAAGCAATATCAGACGCTATTCACATCAAATGTGGGCTTCTAGGAGATGCAATTGAGTTTTGTTTTAATATTCTTGTTTCAGATTGTTTTGCTCTTTCACATGAGATTACTATTACTTGTTTATGTTCTAAACCAAACCGAATATATTTTTGTTTTGAATCATTTGTATTATTCGTTATTTTATCAATTTCGAGTGCCAAATGTTTAATATTCTTTATCTTTGTTTCATTCACTGTTTCTAACACACTATTTGCTAAGCTCGAAAGTATACCATGATTGATATCATCGACGAGTATCTGATTAATAATGACAATTTGCTGACCCAATTCTTCAAGATGACTATATAATGCATAATTTACTAAATTTGTTGGACCTTTTTTAGTCCATTCAGTGCTACTGTATTCTTGTAAATAACTTCGACTAAGGACGGTAAAAACAATACCAGCATAGATCAAATATTCAGGATGTTTATCATGTAATTGTAGAGGAACAATGGGTTGATTATAATCCAATGGACTTGAGACAGTCAGTTCATTGCCTAAAAATAAGTATATTACTAAACTTTTCTTGAAACCATTTATTGTTTACCGTCTCGTATAATTGTGAATGTGATTGTATCTCCAACAAATTTTGATTTTTCAATATATTTAAAATTGAGTCTTTCACCTCGTCGAAAATACACAGTGCCATCATCAGCAATTGGAATACCATCTAGAGACATAATAACATCGTCTTTCTTTAATACTTGACTAATACAACACGCTGGTTCCACAGATATGACAAGAATACCATGTTGATCTTCTTTTAATTTATAATATTCCCGTTGAGATAAATTTTCCATTGGAAGCCAGTAAAATGCCATGTGCGGAAAAGCGGTATAATGACCATGTCGTTCAATATCGTCCAAAACATGTTTGATGATCGATACAGGAACGATATAACCAATTGATTGAGCCTGTGATTGACCTTGAAATGCCATGCCAACAACGTGCTTACCTTAATAAAAGATTTCGTCTTTTTACAAGATTAAGAGTTCTAAAATTATTTTTACCTTGAATAGCTGGACCACCACTATTTCCAGGATTTGTTGCAGCATCTATTTGGATCGTTAACAAATGTTGAACTGAATGTGCATATAATGACATCACAACTCTTGATACAACACCTTTCGTTACTGATAAATTATCACCGCCTAACAAGAAAAAACTTTTAATTCTGTTGAACGTTTCGTTTGTCATCAAAAATACTTACCAATAGGAAATCCGACGACCGTTATCGACTCTTGCAATCGTGGAGTATCATAACTAAATGTTAATGGTTCCAAACCATTCCAGAATTTTTCTTCATCGACTGTCATTATAACCAAATCACATTCATGAGCTATATACAATATACGAGAGGGATATTTCGTGGCATCACCGTGTTTACGAATACGAATACTCGATGCATTTGTCACAGCATGAGCATTTGACAAAATCCATTTATTCTTGATTATAAACCCTGACGATGTACGAACAACTTGGCGTTTTTTTTGCCTAGATCAGAAAAATAGGAATCCGCCTTGAGCTTCTATAACAGCAGTTTCGAACATTATTCTAAAGAGCATAGCTAAGAGAGAGTGTAGAATACAGAGGAATTGTTACTATTTCACATCAATTATAGATGCATTTCTCCTTCTCCTCCCCCGCCAGAACATAATAACTTTTCAAAAGACTTACCAGGGTAGATAAAAATTGCATGGTGTTGATGTACAAAACACTTTAACAACACTGTTTAATACTAATTCTAAAGACTCAATGGCATCGTAATCGGTTTCTATCTTTGATCGCGGACGAACGGTTTGTATTTGTTGCGATTGAACATTTTTATCAATTGTTGAGTTTAGTTCATCATCATTTCCCACAACTAACTGACCATCGATCGCTGGTATACGACCACCAGCACTCGTTACTGATAGGGTTTCATCTTCAACTGGAACAAAATCACCCATCGTTCTCTGAACTGAAGTGAATTTCTACAAATAATATAATAAAACAGTAGTTTTGATCCCTATCGTTACGTTCATATTCGCCTCTAACTGATGTATCATTGTAGGACAAAAGATCAAGTGTACAGCTCATGAAAGTATGAAGACATGCGTTTGACTCAGAGTTGTAAATTCAAATTGAGGTTCAGCAACGCGTCCAATAAATCATACAAATCCTACCATTAGTTCTTTTATTATACCGTTGAACTATCTTTACTAAACTTTTACAAGTGATAGAAACAGTGTGATGTTTTTGCTGAGAAAATAATTCAATCTCAGCTAACTCAGGTCACTCTAGAATTTTCTCCATTTTGCTTGTGTTTTTTATTATTTTCGACCTGTAATTGGCTTTTCGGTCTTAAGGTTGATATCCTCATCGTATATATTGAAAGTTCTCGTTCACACTTTCAGTATAGTCGTAGGATGAGCTATCGATGCTGTGCAAAAACGTTGAGTCAACAAGAGTCAACGATTTTGTCTGTCTTCATTCATTTCTTCACACGACACAAGATTTATAAATTCAAAAGATGTCACGATACGGATACAGAATATATCCACTTTATTCTACCTAACCAAGCTTTATAATTTTCATATATAGAGACACCTAATTCGAAAAATATGTGATGATTTCCATCCCACCTCTCCTGCACATATTAACATCCACATGTATAAACTACTCATAAAGTTGCCCATAAACGTTAGATGAATACATCATATATGGTCTGTATTCTTTCTAAAAGAGGCTTATATTTCGTGGATACATTCTGTACTTGTATTGTGACATGTCTACTGAAATTCAATTCGAGCTCTTCTGTTACACAAAAACGATTTTGAAACCATTACCAAATACATATTGAAAGTATTCTTAGATACAATAGTTTTCTTAACAAACTTAGGATTTTTAGTGCTCCCTACACTCTAAAAAAAAATGCGACTTAGGATCAAATTAAGTCGCATATATGTGCCTTATTCTGTGATAATAAGACACATTAATGCGACTTAATTTGATCCTAAGTCGCATTTTTTTTTAGAGTGTAATACCCATAGACACTTAGTTCTGATTTATTTGAAATGTATTAGATTTCCGCACCTCTTCAAAACACGTTACAGTTAGATTTTCGACAATATTGGTTTTTGTAGGGAAACAGAGTTTCATCTAGCCAAGTCTTATTATTATAGTATGAGACGAACAGATTGTTACTTCAAAAGAAAGGATAGCTCTTTTTTTTATTGACTGAAGCTTCATATATTAGCACGCAGTATCACTGTAAAAAAAACGTACGCTGTAACCGTTCTAATCTGACATTTTAACCGTATTAATCCAGAGCTGGGTGAGTACACAGAGTTCTCAGTACGAATACGAGTATTTCTGAAAAGTACTCGAACAGAAAATTTTTCAAAAGAAGCCGGTAATTCCAAAAAATTGATATTTTGATACATAAATAGTGAAACAAAAAAAGTCGCCAGTTTTTTGGGAGATACTCAAGTACTTTTTAGAATACTCGGTAAAAAAAGACTCGGAAGTTAACATGACGTTTTAACCTTTCGGTTGAAAAAAACGTCAAGTGGAAACATTTTCAACGTCTGTATAATTTTGAACTGGAGAATGAAATAGCCAGTTGGCAGGATTTGACTTTGAAAAGGCATACTTTGCTAAACAATGATGGAAGGAAATACCTTTCATTTAGTTTTTTCTCTCGAAAACTTCTGGTGTATGATGAGTCAGTTTATATATTTTGCATATATTATGTTACCAGGACTGAATTCACTGAATGAATGGTTTAAATTAAACGAAGGTTATAAAGAAGAACTGATTCATCTTGCATCAGTCTACATTCTATTCATTTTGAATTAAAGTTTTTTTTATAGAATGCTTGGCTTTTTTTTATACAAGAGTTTTGGCTCTTCACATAGCAATCGGGTACTTAAATGGTTATATTTCTGAATATGGGAATACGAATATAGAACTAATATTAATCATTAACTTAATATTAACCAATTTAATCATTATTTTATTAAAATATTTTTAAATAAATGGTTATAGACTTGCACAATAAAATTATGCCATTACTTCTGGAACAAAAAGAAAGCATTTGACCTCAGCATCGTCGGCGTACTCAGTTTTTTAGTGAAATTATGGTTGACTTTATTCCGATTATTTTTTTTCTCAGTACTCAGTATTTCTCCAATCTGTTAGATATTTCTTATGTGCGCTAATCTACTCAGCTTTTTGTCTAAGAGAGAGCAACTAATGACAGATTTTTGTGAAAGCTGCCAAAATATTTGCCTTTAGTTATAGTTTGTAACGTTGTTCCACTTTTTCTGTTCGGGAATTAAGATTTTACTTATCGCTTATTTCTTCATATTACTTTTTTAGATGAGGTTTGCTGTTAACAATCGAGTTTTCGTTATTGATACATATAATTATAATGATATTTCATCTAGAATTAAGAAAGAAATGAAATTAACAATGCTCCCATCCGTTGAATATCCATTGTGAAATAAATGGAAACTTTATGTTTTTTTCTTACTTGTTCTGTTGATTTTTTGAAAACGATTAAAATCACAACAATGAGGTTAGTATAATAAAACTATAGAAGCTTTTTATACCCTGATTTGTTTGTAAATCGCATAAAAGAAAGAATAATTCATTTTCAAATATCCGATAAAAAAAACCTGACCGTTAAACTGTCAAATCGCGCAACCTGACGAAAAAAAAAGGTCAAATATGTTGGCGTCAGGTTGAAACGGTTAAAATGTGCTGTTTCTTTTCACAGGGTACACTGCTTGTTAATTGACAATGTTTTTGCTTTACGTAAAGATATCCCAAGCAGCGACCACTTAAAGAATGTGAAAAAAATAGGAAATAAAGTTCATCAAACGTGTTCTTAGCATATCTCATTCGAAAGCTAGTCAATTGCAGAGTCGATATATGGGTGAGTACTGTTTTACCAATGTACAAGTATATGTGACCAGTAAAGAGATGCAAAATCAACAGAAAAATGGGGGTTGATAGTGATTCTCTGACCTCTGACTTGCAAGAGAAGAAAGAAAGAAAATTTTCTTCGTATTAAAATACCAAAAGAGAACAAGACATGTTTATGTATGTCGCAGAGGCTATACATAGTTGTTGTGACATATCGTATACGTTTCGATATAGCCTGTAGAATAAAAAAAACGTACACAATCACGTCTATTATATGTGTCAATACTGTTTGAATCACTCTTGCTGCTATACCGTTGTTCAGTCAAATGTTAGTGAAAATAGGTCTACTGAGAATCACAGAACATATGCATAGCACGTTGACCTATAATACTTATATTCTAAATAGGAAATTTGGATTTAACTCTTAAGGAGGGTCCTTCCATCCATCTTTTTTCAACCAGTTTATAGAGCACACTTTAAAACATATACTTCAAACCTTTTTTTGGTTTTGAGATCCGTAGTTTTTGGAGAAAATAATTTTTTTAAGTTCTGCATAGGCTTTTTTTGTCCAATTTTTAAAATTTCCATAAATATTTCATTTTTCGAGACAGAACCTTGCATCTTTCTTCATTGGAGAGAGCACATTGAGATCTATATAAAAAACAATTTTCATTGTGATCGGGTGAAGTCTGACGGTGAAACTTGACTTTGACTTGTCTATACCATTTCTAGAGCAAAAAGTATTTTTAAGTAAGCCTTGAACAGCGTTTCGCTTTCGGAGAATATTATGTATACAAAAGTGTGGGAACAAAAATTGTTCAACATAAAATTCTTCAGGAAACAACCAAAGGAATTTTCGAAATATCTTAAACTCGATTTTTAAAGCCCAAAATACTAGTTTTTAAAGTTCAGATTTTCGTAAAATTTAATTTAAAAATTGAGTTTTACGAATTTCAAAAAGTCAATTTTTATTCCCACACTGTTGTTTCACAATGCTTTCCTGAAGTGAAACTCTGTGCAAGGTCCTCGACGATTTTGCGCACTCTGAAAAACCTGCCTGAAAATCTTTATTTTTTTCGATTTTTGGCACTTCCATTCGATTCCGTATGTGAAAGTGTCTATGTTCTACACTTTCTGAACGCTATCCTCTGGCTCAGAACAAAAGAGAAAGTAGCGGAAAAATTCAAGTGCCTTTTCTCCTCCGTGCAGCGTCTCAGTATTTTCAGTTTTAAAGATTGACATTAAGAAATTTAGCGATAGAAAAGTATTATCCCATAGAAAACAATATGATAAACAACTTCTATACTCACATTTTCGCTCCAAAATGCTTCCCTGTAGAAAAAGTACAGGCAAGATCTCGAAAAAGCATACTTTTGGCCCCCCAAAAACATCCTGAAGGTCAAATCCGAATTTCTCCGCCAAATCTTGTCGGGGAATGACGACAATCTTTTCACATATACATCTCAAGACGCTCTGTCGATTGGTTAAAAAGCTGAGGTTTCGAACTGATAAGTAAAAATTTTATTTATATTTTAAAAAATGGGCAAAAAAGGCCGAAAAAACTTAAAAGTTTTTTTCACGAAAACTACAAGTCCGCAAACCTCCAAAATTTTTTCAGATATATTTTGAAGTGTGCTCTACAATCTGAATGGGAGGACTCCCTTAAAGTGAGGTATTTGGATGAGAATATAACTTCTAAAATAAAACAGAGTACGAGAGAGAGAGAGAGCTTTTACAAAAAATGCTATACTCTGATAGATATCAAATCTTGCTTACCTAATTCACGGCTTGTTTATTAGCAACTCACCTTTTCTAATGGTGCATTTTGTAATTGAAGCTTGGAAAAATGAAATGATTAGTTTTTATATTCAGGCGTCCGTATCTAATTGGTATATGCTTCGTATAAAAAACAGTAATGAATCACGAAAAGAAAAAGAAGAAACAAAAAGACAAAAAGAAAAAAATTATACTCGTTCAATTTACTACACATTTTATATATGATCATCCCTATTCTTTCTTTTTTGTATGTTGATGTCGA